GAGAGTGAAGGAACGATTTCGCGCGACAATGAAAGACTGGCGTATAAAAATGGGTGACGATCGAATCACGGTTTCGAAGTTGCCTCGAAACGCCTGGAAATAACAAAAAGTTTTCTTTGGTCGGAGACCGAGATCTGCTCCGTTTTTCGTTTATACTTTTGTAATTTCTTTTCTTCCTTTTTCGCTTAACCGTTTACACGCCGTGCGTCGACGCGCCTGATTGAAAACATTAAATACACATACATACATTACGCGATAAATAATTTCATTTTTTTTTTTTTTTTTTTTATGCGAACTACGTTAGTTAAATATCATACAGGACAAACCGACGTTCTTAAATACATAAACGATATATATATATGTTTGTATAATGTCGAAGGCCTCTCGTCGCTGGAACGAGAAGAAGAGAAGAAGGGAAAGAACCGAGAACGATCGCGTTCAAAAGTGGCGGCCCTGTAAACGGTTAACTTTCATCTCTCTGTGTGTTTAACTAGCAGACTGCGGGTTTTCACGCGCTTAAATAGATAAAGCAATTTTAAAGTGCAATTTTAAAGTACAGGATGCGTACAACGCAAAAGAATATATAAAATATACGAGGTAATATATCTAGAGCTTTGTATGATATTTGGTGCGTAAAACAACAATTTTCTATCGGCCCTATAATCTTTTAACTGCATTTTCAAACGTACGAATTTGGAAAAATTTGCAGCCTAGCGCAAGAAGAGCAGGATCTTATTAAAGAGAAGTACGAAAAAAATCGAGACGCGCGTTAAGACAAAGAGGAAGATAGTATAGGGTAGAAAGAGAGAGAGAGAGAGAGAGAAAGAAAGAGTTATGGGAAAATAAATCGTTAAAGAAACTGTGAAATACTGTGGTCGAGTAACACGTCGCTTCTCTCGTGTTTTCGTTCGCACACGTGCCACGGGCTCCTTTTACAATCTCTCGAAGTCTTAACCATTGTCAAGCCGCGGATTTTTATGCACTTACAAGATATTTTAAAAACGCAAAGTCGCAGAGAACACGTACGAAAAAAAAAAAAAAAAAAA